AGGAATTTCTTGAGTTCATTTAATGGAAGATGCTAAATTCAAGCTGCTGTTAGTTTCCAGAGATACCGTAGGAGCACAAGGCAGAGGACATTCCTGTGGTTACTCTGGAACAAGAACTGACCAGCAGATATGAACACAGAGAGAACCTGGACATAAAAGCCAGGATCCACTTCAGACGAACCAAGGTGACAAGGAGGAGTCTTGAGAATCAAGGGCTGCTCGGTACACCGGGCAAAAGATGAGAAGGAGAGAGGGCTGATAGTCACATGACAGGACTTAACTCAAGATATTAAGACAAAGATATATAGACAGCCTCTTCTACGGCACACAAGCAGCTGATCAAGAAAAGCTGGCTAAGGAAAAAAAACCCTTGGTACAAGGTCTTCTGGTTTATATTATTTCATTCTCTCCCCACCTGCCTTTACTTCTTGAATACCGGCCCAACCTTCCCTAAGCACCCAGTGGAAGACTTGGTCTGCCTACAAAAGTACAGATGTTAAAAAAATCTCTCCTAGTAAGCACTGGAGGATTTACCTCTCTTATTGGAATTTAATTTCCAGGACTGATTGGCACCATTTTCTGTAAGATTTGAAGGTGTTCATTATTGTAAACTTGTGGCTAAAATATTTTGGTGATAGCACATCTGAAATACACCAGAGGAAAGAAAAGCAGTGAAAGTAAATACGCTAAAACACTAAAGCTTAGGAGGGTGGGTGAAAAAAAAACTGTATAAAAAAAGATAGAAACTCCATCAGCTACAATGAAGCAGAAGTAAATCTGCTTTAAGGAAAGAATCCTAAGACATATACAAATACAGGCTTCCTGAATGCTATTCCCCATAATGTTAAATTCGCCTGATGTATTTCATCTCCTCAGCTCATCACTGCCCATTTGATATTCAGTCATCCATGTCACTTCCCATCTCTTTGGCTGGATACAGATACTGGCCACAGCTGCAACATGCTGAGCACAGTTGGCTACCAATCAGCTGGTATTGCCATTTGCCAAAGACTCCATCATGCTTGCTACATTGCTGATAGCTCTTTTCAGAGAAAAGATTAATGGCCTCAAATGTCATTAATTAGATGCTCTTGCATCTATTTTACCTTCTGCTTTTACGGTTATTTTGAATAGGCCAGGTAAAACAATGCAAATGGAGAACTAAACGGAAATGCATGAAAACACTGAAACCTTTACTTGATATGAAAACATCACTTTAGCATTCTTGTGTATCTTCAGCTTACATCTCATTTGACTAACAGGAGACGCATGTCCTCTGCTTGACAAAATCCTCCACTAGCAAAAAATGGGGAGAGAAGAAAATTTGTGAAATGCATAAGTAAAAAGATAAGCATTCAGAATCCTCCTATGGAGTAAAACTGTACACCGAAAAAAATTGAGTGATCCTATCTATGTATATGTATCACTGCCCTCTACTGAATTGTAAGTAGAATATCTTCCTAATGCACATTAATTTTGAATTGGATTAGTGCTAAAAATTACTCAAAAATTACTTGAAATGCTATTAATTAGAGACTTGTCCTTCAATAAAGAGAAAGAATTCAGTGCTTTTGAAGCGGCAGATAATTCTGTAAGGTCCTCAAAAATTCTGTATTTCTGTATTAGATGGAATTGTCCCATGCTGCACACTGAGAAAGCGTCCCCAGCCTCATATATAGCTTTTTTTTTCAGCTGTCAAGAGCAATTAAACTTTTTTAAAGGCACTTTTGTCTCCCACGGGAAATACCAGAAACGCAGAGTTCGCATTTGTAAATGTAATCTGCAAACAGATATGACAATAATTGGCACTGTGTATACACACAAAACAATTTGGGGCACTTGAATGAGAGTGGTAGATCAGCTCAAGGAGAAAATGACATCTGTCATCTAACCACAGTCTCAGCAAGAGCATGAGACACAAATGCACCATCTTCATGGAAAACTGCATGGAAATGTGTATTTGTTAAGTGTGGTGCAGTGCATAGGACAACTTACACACTTCCCTGGTCCCACTATTACTGTACCAAACAATTCATGACTTACTGTGTTTAGACTCATAAAACACAAGTGGCACAGAGTCATATTATAGACTTTGACAAATGGGGAACAAAGACCTAGATTTTCAAGGGACAGTGGACATCTAGCTGCCTCTGAAGTCAATGGGAATTATCTACCTAGACACCACAGAGCAGCTGGACAGAAAGACCCAAAGGCATGCTTAAAAAGCCAAATGAGTATGCACCAGATAAAAACAGACCAGCTTAATCTGCCGCAGGCGGAAACAGCAAGAAAGCAAGCCCTCCCATGGTCATTAGATATGTACCAGCTTTACTGGTCCAAAGTCCATGAAACCACATATATCCTTCATTGTTACCCGTGGCAGAATAATGGTCTAGCTGAGGTGATGAAATACTGCTTGGCTAAGCAAGTTGCCAAAAACATTACAGTTGCTATGTGACAGAAATGGTCTGCAGCAACTTAGTTATGCGGGTTTCAGGTGTGGAGATGTAGTTTGACACCCCTCTTCAGCTACTGTTTCTATCACTTTTCCTTTCTTTCCAGTCCGTCAGCTGCCCTGAGCCTTGCTTGTTCTAGCTAACAAAAGTCCATAATCTTTGCACCACATGCATGATTTACATGGCTTCTCCCTTTCAAACCCAGGTTGGATGAGCAGAACATCAGGACCACAGAGTGTCCCTTGCTTCTGTTCTGGTATCTGGCATGTGAATATGATGGGTTCAGGGCTGTATCACCATGTCCATGTCATATGACTGCAAGTATACATGCTGACTTTAGGAGGCTCTAATAGGAGGGGAAGAGAAGGAGGGGGCTATAGCACACTTAATTCTCCTGGTAAATCTGTGCCTACAGCGTGCATGGTGGGTTTTGTGCACTTCTGTGGTGTTTCATTCAGTTTCACCAACTTTTGATTTTGAGAATGAGTTAGGTTTTCCCTCCCTTGGGTACTGAAACAATGGCTTTTGCAGAATAGAAACATTAATTTCTGTAACTCCTCTCCATCTGATCTATTCTGACTGTAAGTTTTCCAGGGACAAAAGGTATTTGTCACTGTGTCTTTAGACAGGCTCACCACGAGTCTTAGGTTTGGCGAGCAGCTTCCATGTGTGATATGAAAAAAGGAATCTATATAACTAAGTGCTTCCTTAAGAAACCTTATTCCATTACAGTGTTTGTGGAAACTATTTCCATTTTGTTCCTGTATACTTTGAAGTTTCTTTTCCACATTAGAAAAAAAACATCCAGAACTGTAACTCCTTTGGGTGTGCACCTGCAAACACACAAACTCACATACATGCTTTTGAATAGCTTGTTGCTTGCTCATGAATACAAACCAGATTTCTGTTCCTACCAGAAAAGAACTCTATACATCATAAAGTACCTATGAAGCAACTTAAGCCATCATCAGCAACAACATCTGCTCCCAGTCCTCATCCCAGAAACTTCAGGCACAGGGAGAAGCTGTTGAATGGGCTCTGAAACACTTTGGGAAAGGGATAGTGAAGGATTACAGACCAAATTGATGACAAAACAGGAACGGTATCAGAATATGCTTCAGAGCTGAGGGCAGAGACACCTTTTGGGGCACTTCCCACTGAAAACAGTGCCACTTTCTACTGGAGTAACTAGGAAGGGGAATGCAGTACCCACTAACTAGGAAGAAAAACATTCTAATCATCCTGGTGGGAGCAGGGGAGATACTTCTCCACAAGAAACAGCTGGCTGCAAATGGCAAATAGGTTCTCTCTCTTCAAAGGTTACCATTTGGACCCTGCAGGATGCCAGAGAAGTTGCTGGAGTCCCACTGAAAATGACATTTCTTCTTGTCCATAAAAACAGTCATGAGAGCACTGTCAGGGCTTCCTTTCTCTGCAGCCGCAAAGACTCCGTTTTTACAAAGGGGAAAAAGAGACAAAGAGAGGGAGTAATCGCAAAATACAATAAGCTGCTGAGTGCCGGAGGGGAGCTGGGTCAGATGTAAATTTAAATGTTTATGGACTGGCTTCCTTGCCAATTTGTGATGGAGAAAAGGAGAAGGGGGATGAAAGAAAAGGGAGGAAAGATTTTGCAGAGCAGTAAATCTCCATATTTTTTGTTTATTACATGGGTGGTGAAAATTGCAGAGGAAAGACATTTGTCAAAAAAACATGATGGCTAAGGATGCTGAGCAAGGGAAAGCTTAAGAATATGGTTGACCTGGTAGTTTGAGGCCCACAGCTAAGTTCACAAGGCTTTAGACCATTGCAAGAGGCAATTGCAACAGCCAATAGCAGGTCAGGCAGAGGAAAAGACAATTAGAAAACAAGAATACAGGAATGGGAAGATACTGTTGATACACTGATGGGAAGACTTCAGTCATTCACAAATTGAGGGACAAATCCAAAGACAAATACCAAACCTCTTGTGCCATCCATTGAAGCAGCAGGTTTCCAGTAACACTGAAGATTTCACCATAGCACTGAGGCTGATATTTGTGAGCTGATGACACCCTCTACCTGAATGGTAATATAGCCCATACCAACATGGGGTGTGTCTGCCTGAGCCACGGACATGCTGTATGGAGACGCAGTGGTGCTTCACTCAGGGCTAGTTATCTCTGTCCCTGGAATCTGAGGTAATTAGCTGAGAGATATTTCAGGATTTTTGCCCAGCACAGTTTTAATCACAATCATGCTAGGCTCACCTGGTGGGCAGGACCTTTTGGGTCTGCACGGAGATATAGTCCTCCACTTACAACTTGCTTCAGCCTTGCACAGAGAAAATCCCTAGTGGCTGAACCCCACTGCCAGCATCGTGAAGCGGGCAGGCAGATAATCCATCCCAATCACTGTGCCTTAAAGTAATGAAGTTCTGATCTGCCCAGGTCTACCACCCAGCTGTGTCCTCCAGTGCTTTCTAGACCCTTGACATAAACTTTGCCTTATGAAACTACTCCAGTTTGTGTTGGCAGGGATCATCCCCTAAATCCTTCATGCTTTCTTCTTACTTCCATGAAGCAGAACAGAACTTCTAAGGGAGAGACATGACATCCTACAAATGTATGCCAGTTTAACATTACTGCGGGATCCCAAATAGGAGTCTGCATTCCAAAGCATGCTCCAGTGTTTGGGAGGAAAAAATCCAACCCCAAAACAACACCAAAACCCAACAAAAAACCCAAAGAAGATATAGTATATACCATAGTCCTCGTTTAGACCCCAGTGAATCAGATGCATTTATACCACAATTATTTGTTCTACCCCATCTTGATAATCTCACATATATACACACACAAATGCATAAACATACACTTCTCCAAATAATGGACACAATACCTGCTCTAGGTTTGCTGCTGCTCTTTTATTTTCTCCTGTGGCATCTTGATATGGTAAAATGAAGAGTTCGGCAGATGTGGGCAGACCAGGGAGCACTGCGACCAGAATATGCTTGCTTGAAATACCTGTTGCCTGAGACATAGACAATTAATGGACAGAAAAACAGCGGAGATGGCACTGAATGCTGACAACTGCTTTGCTAAAGCACCACAGTACTTATACAAATGATGTAGGATATATCTGCTACAACAGGGAGAATCTTGTTAAAATCCACTGCAGGTAAAATGTCAGGGATTAATAATTTCCTGATCTAAGCTATTTTACCATGTTCTCCAATAAAATATGCAGTGTCCTAAGGCAACAGTGATAATCAGACATGCTAAAAGGAGTTCCTAAATGACAGTTGCATATGGTATAATTTGCTTTGTCTAAATTTAGCTATTTTAAAGTTACCTGACTATCCTAAGTTAGTCTCTGAGGTTCTTCACTTAGTCAATGGTAAGAAGCCGCATGTTAAAGGGCAAGGTATGTGGGCAGAATTGCACTCTAGAGGTGTGATTAGCCAAAACATCTTAAAAGCCTTGTGGAGACTCTCAGAGAGAGAAGATGATGAATCAAGTTTGAATCCCAAAAGCCAAACAAATTCTCATAGTTCACATCTTGGGTCAATTCCACAAGTTAATGAAGACCTTTTTTCTTCTTTTTTTCTTTAGGTGTTAAAGATTGTATTATTCTGCAAAGTTTTATGTTTTTGTCTTCTTGGTTGAAAATCTTAAGTAACCAGTTTCAACCCAAATCCCTCTTCAACACAAATTAGCCAAAATTCAGAAAGAAGTACCCCACAGGCATCACTACCGAGGTCATCTCTGTTCATGGGTTTCAGCTGCTGTTACCATGACATTACACAATCAGATTGTGGAGTTCTCCAGAAAATGAACTAGTTTGGCCTTCAGGAAGTTAGTGAGCCAAAACAAGGAGAAACATAGTTTGCTGAATCTTCCCCCATTGCTTCTTCATGTTGTGGATTACCCAGAAAATGCATTTAAATCTCAAGGTTTTGATTTAGATTTTAAGTTTTCAAGTGCTGAATTTAGTAGGTCACTTTTAAAGGAAAAAAAAAAAAAAAAAAAAAAAAAGATGTTCTCAGATTTAAGGGCAGACCACAGCAGCCAGATGCGGCATAGGGATTTCCCCGCAGTCAGGACTTGCAACCCTCTCAGACATTAACTGGACCTAAAACTCATTAATTCTTCTCTCTAGTAATTCAGGACCAAAGGCTTGGAGCAGCTGCTCACTGAAGGAAATGAGGGACAGAGGATAAGGAGTCAGCAAAACTGATTACACATCACCATTATGCGAGCTAATTCTGTGGCTGTCCCACGCGTGACTGCTGACAGCCCAGGGAATGCCCTGTGGAACTATGAAAAGGAAACCCTTCCCCTCCACTGCACACCAAGGAAAAGCACGTGGGTTTGATGCTGGTCGGTTTTTTGTTTTGTGTTTTGTTTTTTGTTTGTTTTTTTTTTTTTAAATGCAGATTTAGAAAATAAACCTATAACAATATAAAGGTCTCATATTCTTTCCAAGCATTCTGTGAACCCAGGGCTTGCATTATTTGTGCTTGCCTAACAGGTTGTTTTAAGATGTCAAGAAAAAGACACAGTATTACCAGTTAATGGCAAATCTTCATTTTCTGAGGCTGAGAATGATTTTTTTTTTGTCTGGAAGCTTTTTGGCTGATCTACTCAGTTCATTCTTATTTTCTTCATCAGAAGCAAGAGATAGGACTCAGAAAATCAGTGATGTGAGCAAATAATTATGATAATAATACAAAATAGGATATTTTGTGATAATCTCAAACTATCCTTACTTAGAGAGAAGATCAGATTTTAGTAGAGAACTATAATTTCTTATGCAGAATTTTTATCCAAGTCTATGGTACTCTGTAATAAGAATGTAATACTTTAATAAAAGTTCATAAAAATTCTATAGCACAGCTATAATTTCCTATTGAATTATTTAGTTATTCAACTCATTTTTATAGAGTTTACTTAATTGCTGTAGAAATCTACTTGTTTTATCTTTAATTTTTACAGGAACTTCTCACAAAAGCTTGTTTAAGGTGAATCATTTAGCTATATAAAGAGGGATAATTAGATATCAATTTTTTACTTTTTTTTTTTTACTCAAGCAACAAAAAGACTCTTTGTGTTTTCACTGCTCTGCTTTTGGAATGTAGCCTTGGTACTGTAGTTTTATGATCCTTTTTTATGGCTTGATTTTGTTTTATTGAGTTGTTTATATTCTGAAAATTCATCCTGAAGATAAATGGATCCTTGAATACTTGATACAGACATAAATAAATCAGAAGAACAACCTCCAGAAATTTTTTTTTCCCTTTCCTCCTCTCCTCCTCCCTTTTGAGGAAATTGAAGAAAAAAATCTCAGAAACAATCCAGACAAGTTTGTGTGCAGCTGATCAGTGTACAGTTTCTTTCCAGTCTTTTTGCACAGATGATGCCACAAATGAACATATAAGCTTGCTAATAATATCTACAAGTCTTGTATCCTTTCAAAATTTGAGTACCTTTATTTAAAAAAAAACAAAACAAAACAAAACAGAAACCCTGTTTCAAACAGTTCCTTGCACTATTTTTCTGCTGAGCTGAGAAACCTCATCTGTCTCTTCTAACTTTTCTTAGCCTGTCAGTTTGAAATCCAAATCTTCAGCCACACAAGAATATTTTTGTGACATTCTGTTCCACAGTTAAAGAAGGAACTTCAGAGCTTCTCCATAGCGTTGATGGGAAAAACAGCATCCAATGCTGACCCGTGAACCTCATGATATGTGAAAGCCATAAAGCACTTGCTGTGGTGCTCTTCTCTGTAGTAAAAATTGTTTTCTTTTTGGTCTCCTAAGTTTCCTACAGCATATTTGTAATTCCATTAGAATAGCACTACTTTCCACTGCTGTATAAGAATAGTAGTAAAAGAAGCAAGAATTGCTATGCAGCAGTAAAGACATTTGTACAGCTACAGGCAGCTATGTCACATTTGTTTTCTATATGGCCTTTTCTCAGAAATATTTGACATAAACCACTGTCATTAAAAAGAATACACTGAAGGCTGATACTAAGCACCAGACTGTCATAGGATAGGATAATTTCACTTGTCTAAAATTAGGGGTTTGGCCTCAAACATTAGTCTAGTCTCCTTTTATAGTTGGTAGAAACAGAGAGACACCTTGAGAGAACAAGGTCCTAATCCTGATCCAGTCCTAATGTAGGCACGAAGCAGAAATTAGAACCATTGCAACACAGGTTATGCACATTGCTTACCTCCACCAGAGCTCTCTTGACTACTCTACTGATGTCCCTTCTCCACTCTGGGATATCTGGATTGTAGTCATCCAGGTTCGGAGAGAATGATAACCGCAGGGACTGGAATTGCTCTGCAGATACAACAACATGGTGGTGAGTAAAGACTGTGAAAAGCCTTAGTGCCAAACGAGTGGGCAGAATCTAGAGAAACCTGCTGCAGCTCATGTTTTGCTTAATCAATCTGCAGGTGATGCACAGACTGTCAGAGAATCCAGCAGTGTGTCTGAGAGATTCACTGAGAGATTTGGAGACTCTGAGAGATTCACAGCTCGAGTGTCACAGAACCAAAAAGGGTGATCAGTCCTTACTTCAACAAGTGAAGAGTACTGGAAAGGAAGCTGTGCTGGGAATGTAATTGAAATGCTACCTTAATCTTGACTTCTGAAGCAGACAAGCCTTGTGAAAGAAGCTGTGATTGTACTCTCATAGACATGCCCCAAATACTTGAAATTTTAACTGGAAGGAGAAAGGGATGAAGGTGAGGAGAGGACTAGCCTTGGAAAATGTACTTCTTAATCTCTGTTGCTGTTAACAGAGGTGCCCACACTGATCACTAAGACCATGTGCTTAGTATAAACAGCTACAACTGGAACTCCCAGTGGTTATTAGACTACATCTACACTATATGATATTTGTGTGCCCTAACCGCTTCTGAGGCCTGAGTACAACAACAAATCAGTACAGATTTCTGTACAGAGCTGCAGCACACAGCGTTCAAGCTGAGCAGCTTTTGCATGAGTTAAGAGGCCTCTACTGGCCAAGAAGGGGGAAAAGCAGCTCACAAAACATTTTGACAATCATGTAGGATGACCAAATAGTGATAGAGCAGATGCAGAGGCTCTGGGAAGGAGATCAATGTTCTGCAGTCCTCTCAATCTGGACTAATGTCAGTCAGTGGCCTTCAGAGATGTTATGCTGAACTGATAACATTGGAACCAAGCTTATAATCTCACTCAAAGCATCCTGGAATAAAAACCTCATGTTGCTGCCAGCTAACTTGGCTCTCTAGCTCTTGACTATAGAAAATCCTGTGTGAAATGAAGGGGGAAGAGCTCACCATACACAGCAATAGTCTTTGTGTCCTGAAGAATGGTGTTTCCTGCTGAGACCTGAACGGTGATAGTGTTCATCCCTTCCACAGAAAATGTGAATGTGATGCTCCCTTCCAATGTGATTAGTGGCTGCAAATATATCAGAAAAGTATAAATTAAGTTAATTTGGCTGGAAAGGAAAAGCAAAAATGAGTTTGGCTCTCTAGCCTATTGGGATGGTTTGGGGAGTCAGTTCCAGCTTGGAAACTCAAGACATAGAAGGCATCCTGTGACATGGAAGCCTATTCTCTGGAGAGGGCCCAAGGATCCAGATGAGGATGTCCTCCTGAAGCTCAAAGTAAGGTACTATAATTTCCAAAGGAGCTAGGTATTAAGATCCCAGTATTTCTTTCCCACTTAGCATGCTGGTTGTTCTGGATCCCATGTTAAAGTGTCCATCTTTGGTGCACTCCCCAGAGAGGCCCGCATTCTCACATGAGGATCTGCAAGTCTCACTGCTCAGGTGTCACACTCCTTTCCCAGATGTAGCTGTCAGTGACTTGTTTAAGGTCACTCAAGGAGCTTGTGAAAGAACAAGGAGGCAAATTAAGATTTGTCAGTTGTTCTCCCATGTTATCTTTAGACATGGAGACATCATTTTTGGAAAGTGATGGTGTTTAGAGAGGAGACAGATCCCCTCAGCTTGTTTCGCTGTGCCAATCAGCTTATCAATGAGTTGTGTCCCCTTTCAGCAGTCTCTGCCCTAACTTCTGTTTTCACTTATTAATGAACTCTGGATGAGATCTTCAAAGCACCCAGTATGAAGTCAAACTCTGTTCCCACTGTAGTCTGTAGTAAAACTCTCACTTCAATGAGAACAGAGTTAGACCAACTCTGATCACTTATGAGCTTAGCAGATCAGAGGGAAGGTTAAAAGGTGACAATCACAGCCCGTAAGTACCTCTAGGGGGAGATGATTTCTGATAGTACAGAGAGTTCTTTAATCTACACACAAAGGCATAACAAGATCCAACAGCTTGAAACTGAAGCTAGTTAAATTCAGACTGCAAACACGGTGCATGTGTTTCACACTCCGGATAATTAGCTGTTGGGAAATAGCTGGGGGAGAGGGTAAGAAAGAGCAGTAAATTCTCCATCATCTGAGGGAAATTATTAATGCAAGACAACAAGAAGTCAGGTTCTGCCTTAATCACAAAGAGTTAAATAAAGCAGAAAGTACTGATGAAACCCTCTGACCTGCATTATACAGAAGATAACCATGTATGGTTGAAGGTCCCTCTTGGCTCTACAAAATCCACAAGAATCTCTCCTCTCAGAGACTCATTAGGGTCTCTGGGTACTTCAGCCACAAAGATACGTAAATTAACAGTTATAATGCCCATGCAGATTTACCAACACTGCAAGCAAGAGGCAACAGAATGTGGTGCATGCCATTCTCATATCTGAGCAGAGCCCAGAGACAGGGAGGTGTGCTGGGAACCATTTTATCCACCAACAGCACATGATAATAAGGTCTCCTTGCACATGTGGTTAAGCATAAAGTGTGGGGGCTCAGGATTGGGCTCAGCATATTTAAGGGGAGGCACAGAACTGATGGCAGTCTCTTCTCTTGTTAGTCACCAAAGAGATGTGATTTAAACTCCAGGGCTATGTAAAGTCAGTTCCAGATATAAAACCAGCTTCAGTTTGAAAGGTTAGTTTCCTAAAAAAAAAAAAAAAACAAACCACCAAAACCCCAAGCTGTTGTTGTTGAAGGGAACAGGGGGGAAAACGCACTAGAAACTCTTCTGGATTTTGGTTCACTACGTCCACCTTGGATGTCAATACAGTGAGAAAGCTATTGGCAATTTGCACGAAATGGCAATAAACCTCATAGCTAAGTCACAGCAACAAAGACAAAGCAGTTCTTACTGTTCACTGTTGGTACATCGAAGAACCACTAGTCTCTTGGTCTCTGGATCATAATTTTCTTGCGTCTGCAGCTACTTAGAAGCATTCCCAGATCCCTTTCTCCCTCCCTCCTCAGTCAGAGAGCTGCTCCGGTATTATTTTGATCTCAGTCCACAGGGAATACAAACCTCTGTGTTGTTCCCAAACCACCAGACGTAAGTAAGTGTTCCCACTTGGCTTGGCCACAGTACTGCCGTGGCGTTGACCTCCTTGTTCTTTGTGGTAACAAATGGTAAAGATAAGTGAACATGTTCCAAGGGGCCTGCAGAGACAGAAGTAGCAGGTGAGTCCTCCCTCCCTCTGAAATGTCAGCCCTGGGGGAGAAGGGAACTGAGGGGAGAGAAGTCCTCCAAATCACTGTGGGGCATGACAATTAATGTTTTGGCTTGGTGCCATTTCTAGAGAGGCAAGATGAAATCTGTTCCTCACAGAACAACAGCTACCCCTGTACCTGAAAAACTTGGATTCTTTACTGAATGAATGTCATATACTCAGGGATATTGTATACAAATAAAACGTTTAATAGGGGTAGAGCCCTGTTATGTGACTATTAAGAATGTGCAGGACAAATGGCTTCAGTGGACGTGAAGCATCTCTGCTGATGCAAACTGCTATGATTTGGTGAATTTCAGCAGTGGTATATCTATTTATATCTGCTGAAATTCTGTCTGAAGGCAGCTATCCACTGAGTGTCTTCATTTTAATGTTACCTTATACTCCCTTCTTTTCCTCAATAAACTCATTTCTTTAGTATAAACAGAACATAATTCACTCGACAAGTGACATTATGCCCAGGGTTACACATTTCCCATCTTCTGGAGACAGATGGGCCTTTGTTGTTACGTCTTGTTCTATAGATTATTTTTTAAAATGTGTTCTGACTGTTCACTTAGAAAACAAAGCAATTGTCCTAAGAGTGACAGAGAAAGAAAAAGAAAGAAACCCCAGGTGACATGGGGACATGGGTTCTTAAATTAAGGCCACATCTGCATGTCCTATATCTGCAAGCTCCCCAGTGATAAGAAGCAGAGACCACAGCCTGGGAGGATCAATTGCATTGTCCATATGGAGTTGAGATACATTGCTAGAGGATCTTTTTTATCTATCTATCTATCTATCTATCTATCTATCTATCTATCTATCTATCTATCTATCTATCTATCTCAGGAAAGGATTTTTCAGGGCATAACCCATGCCCGTATCACCACATAGACCTTTCTTTTCAACCTAAAGGAACACCACACATTTTGGAGCAAGCACCCTGTACCCCTATACAGCACACACAGGCAGACACACACATGTGGAAAAGTTCCCAAATCAGACTGTATAAACAATGCCAGCATAAACAAGGACCAGTGTTCCTGACTTATAACTGAAATGCAGCTTCCTCTTCTCTGGGTTGCAGACACAGCTGCTGCTTGACCTGATGCAGCCCAATTAAGAGTCATCCATGATCAGACTAACCAAAGTCTGCTATAGACCAGATCTCATGGTTTAATACCAGCCGGTAACAGAGCACCATGCAGCTGCTCGCTCACTCCTTCCCCTGCAAGGGGATGGGGAGGAGAATGAAAAAACTCCTCATGGGTTGAGATGAAGACAGTTTAATAGAATAACAAAGGAAAAGAATAATAGGAAAAGGAATAGGAATAGTAGTAATAGTAGTAGCAGTAGCAATAATCATAATAATAATAATAATACCACCAAGTGATGCACAAATGCAATTGTTCATCACATGCAGAAAGAAAAAAAAACAATTCGATACCCAGTTTGTTTCCAAGCAGTGATCCCACCTTCCAGCTAGCTTCCCCAGTTACATATATATGGACCATGATGCTATATGGTATGGAATATCCCTTTGGCCAGTCTGGGTCAGCTGTCCTGGCTGTGCTCTCCCAGCTTCTTGTGCACCTGGCAGGGCGTGGGAAGCTGAAAAGTCCTTGACTTGGTGTAAACACTACAACTACTTAGCAACAACTGAAAACATCCCTGTGTTATCAACATTATTCTCATAATAAATCTAAAACACAGCTCTATACTGGCTACTAGAAAGAAAATTAACTCTACCTCAGTTGAAACCAGAACACCAGGCCATGGCTCATTTTTCCTTTTATAATCAGCAGTCAAAACTCTTCTTGAAAATTCATGAGAAGCCAGAATTTCATCCTTATGGCATTCCCCTGCTCAGACACATTTCCATGACTAGGCCATGCCTGCTCTCAGCAAGATCCTAAGGCCTGAAAAACAGCAGCTTCCCAGGCTAAATGTTTTGAATCGCTGGCATCCTTTGTTTGCCAAATGCCCAATGTCATCATGGCCCTCTAAAGGAATAACTTTCCTAACACTGGATGCAGTGACAGCAGTGACAATGGAGCCCATATAAAGTCTAATACGCTCCCACATAACTGCACAGCTGCTCTGAATACATCTCGACTGATCTTGCACTGCAGAGAGTGCCCAGCACCTCCTCAGACCTCCACCATACGGTGGCTAGGAAAGCACATGAAAGAATGGCTCAAGCAAGCCAATTCTGCCTCAGTATTGCTGTGCAAACAGCCGATGGGTCAAAGTAACTGAAATGCTGAACTATTATCTGTCCAGCAGATGGGGATAGCTCACTCCGGATAGGCCCTTAGCTTGGTATGAGACTGTTTTCTCCCAGGTAAGTTTGAAGAGAATTCATTTCTGAGCTTCATGCGGGGCCATGGAGACTACAGACCTTTGCCTGCCCCAGGAAAAAATTGTGTACAAGTCTGGGACAACAGAAAGGGAGAAGCTTCTCAAACGGTTCACTTGGGCAGGTGATGTTATTCTGAAACATTCAGGTAAATGCATAACTAACTTCCCAGGGGAAAATTTTGACCTGTCAGGACAGTTCAGAGACAGCCTGTTGGCTGGAGAAGGAGTTTATATACAATTTACTGTCCATCCACCCTAAAACGCTCCTGCCTCACAATAACTTGCATTTCTAGATCCCTGGACTGACTGCAGTAAAGGCACTGCTACTGCGCACTGGCTCATGGCTGCAGCAGGACGAGGAGGGCATGGGATGGAGACTTTGACCTTTGAGATCACAAGCACCGTGGTTCAGTGCCTGCAGTTTTCCCCTCAGCAAGGCTGCTGGCTGCTGGAAGGGTGCTGAAAGGCCCAAATCTGGCTGCACACACTCACGTATCAACCCTGTAACAGGGTGTTACCCAGTTAGTAATCCTTCCTAAAACTCTGCATGTTCAGGCTGCACACTGCTTTTCTGTGGATCTTAGCACTACAATGTGCATGCCAATTGTAAGGACAGGTATTTTTACAATACTCCCCAAAGGCCAAGCTCATACACCCCAAGCAGAATACTCAGCAGAGAGCTGAGTGGCAATGAAAGCATTTAAATAGGATTTAGAAGCTTTTGTGGATCTGGGTGTTAGACTCCGGAAGGGACTGGAATTACCATACATCTCTGTCCTCAGTGAATGTATTGCTAGTCTGAGTGGCACCACACTTGGTCTGCAACCTGCTTTGAAGTCCCTAATTCTTGTCATGTAGAGAAAGGTGAAACATATCCCTTAGGGCTGCCAGTTCTCCAGGGGGTCAGGCAATGATCACACAGTATTTAAGTTCTGTGCTAGCATTACCTATGCACGACACAGAAACATCCACTATCAGCTGCTAAGTCACACAAACATATCTGAATATTGTTTATCTCTTGTACTGCTTAAACAATCAAAATGGTTCTTAAACCTTCAACGCCTCAAGAAAATAGATTAAAACAGCTATAAACCAGAAACCCACTACGAGTGAGAGTGAAGGCTAGACATCTGCCTTCTCCTTCCATTTCGTGGTTATTCCATGAGAAAACAGTTTTGCTTCACATAGCCTCATTACTTTGCAGATAGGGTGAGGGTGTGCAATGGTCCCCATGGAATCATCTCTTGTCAAACAGCGAACGATTACAAATCCTGCTTGCATGAGGCTGTCAGAACCTCCTGCGAAATATCAACCACCAAAACACTTTTCCATTTGTTTCAAATGACCTTTACAAAGAGTAAAAAAAAAATATAAAAAAAAACCCAAAAGACCACGGCTCCTGTTGAGCTGACTTTCATAACCAGCAGCAGTGGGAGGGGGATTTCTGCATTCAGAGCCTGCAGCAGCTCCTGTCATAATTATGCAAGCACACACAGGGAGAAAAACAACAGAACTGAAGAAATTACACAAAAGTGTATAAATGTCTATTCTGAGCAGAGGTCCTTTACCCTACTTAGGGTGATACTTAAATAACCAAAAAATAAAAATCAAAATGAGTATCTGTCTGAAAGCTCAGAATTTACCTTAATTCACCAGTGCCTCAGCAGAGAGGTGATATAGGCTAAGTCCCCAAATCAAAATCCTGAGATTCACAATAAGCTAATTTATGAATTTTGCAAGATATTATGAGTTTTTCAAACATGTAGTGTGCTGAAGGATTATGTGACTTAAAAAGTTTACCACAGACAAGGACCTATCAGTTTAGGGAATCATAAATGGTACACTATGATCGTGAACCAAAGGTCTTTTTGAAGAGAGGCATTCAGGGAGATATGTGGTCCTGTTTCTCTAGTGCTCCCTCATAAACCTCCTACCTCCCACAGCTATACCTCCCACTGCTCCCATCTGTTGATATGACAGTGCACCAATAAAAAGCTGCCCTCTTCCCCTGAAGAGGCAGCTGCTCTCATGCTGTATGAAATAACTCCAAAACTGGAGTTAAAAGTGTATGGAATGTGCTAAATTACCTAGACAATAAGTGGAGTTAATTTTGAAGAGGGTAAGTGGTATTTCTGTAAGCCTAACTTTAAGTTTTGGAATATCCTTTTTTTTTTCCCCAGTAAATCTAGTGTGACAGGCACACAGTGGAAAGCGTAAATAATACATTAAAAAACCCCCACTGTATAAAAAAACCCCAATGGCCTCAAACAAAATCCATTAGAGACATTACAAGATTTCACTATTAGGCTGACTCCTTGGGTTCATCACCATGTGGTAGAATAAGTATGAAAGAACACATTGCTGGTTGTATGCAAGGACTTGAGAAAAAATTCAGTTGTAAATAAGAGATACCTGAAGTATAAGAAGGTTAAAAAGAACAGCAGAAAAACAATGTGAAGATAATATTTTTTCTTGTAATACTCTTTAACACCGAGATTTTGGTTCCTATGACAACAGAAAGACTGAAATGCATTGCTTTCCATCCCAGATGTGGTTTTATTTCATTAGAGGGCAAAACACATATACAAAGTAAAAGTCAAGGCTTTTAAAAGTGATTAAAAATCCTGGATGTCTTTGCTTTTCTGGAAGTGTAAATATGCTAATGAAGGTGCATTTCAGAAAGGGCTGGACATTCCTTTGAGGTGTCCCAAATTAGACTACCGAAAATTAGAGGCTGAACATGATTTTAAAAGAAAATATCACTATTGCCTGTGGCTCCTCTCAGTCTGGAGTCCTCTCCTGGAGGACAGACAAACACTCATCGTATCATATCACTCTGCTCCCAGCTGCAAAGCCCCAATGTCATCTCTAAGAACAAGTAATATTTTTTTTAAGAATGACAGAAGCTAACAACGAGTATGAACATACGTACACGTTACATGCAGGTAGAGGACAGCGTTGTCAGATCCCAGACTGTTTTCCACCAGCACAGTCACTCGGAATATGCCCACATTCTGGTATGTGTGCTTGATCCCATCTTCTGTGGAGCTGAGATTGGCATATGACACAGCGATGCCATCTCCAAAATCCACCTGAATGAGGGATCTCTGGAGGTCTCCCTGAGGTGATAGAAAAGAGAAAGGGTCAGAATAGACTCTGCTTTTTTTGAGAAAGACTGGATCAGAGAAGTGACCGAGACCACAACTGGAGGACAGTCACAAGGTCTGATGTTACCAGAGGAAAGGCGGTCACTTCACCAACTTGCTCAGTAGTCAGTGGAGAGAGTGTGACCCCACCTCTTGAGGCTGACTCAGCTGCACTGTCAAGGAGGTGTCCTCCAAGGTACGTGCTGTAGCCCTGCTTTCCTAATCGACAAGGGACTAGGGTATCCTCTGGAAAACTGACTAGCTCCTTCCCCTGGGTTTCCTTTTGGAGAAGTGCAGCGTTGTAGTGGGGAACGGTGCTCATCTTGGCAAGCGCTCGGGACATGGGTAGCTATTGACATTGCCTCAGGAGCCTTTGGAACAACCCACGTTGTGAGCTTCTATATTTAAAACCATAAAAAGTAGAAAGATAAAACTGAGAAGTCCTCAGGGAAGGGTCAACTATATCAAAATGGTGGGGTGTCAAAAGAACCACTTCAGCCTCACATGATAATGACAGCTTACAGCAGTTTATGACTTGCTCAGTGGCCTGATTGAAAATGAGCTGGTTTTGTATTTATTTCGGAACAGCTACCAGCACTACTGATACTAAATGGGACCCTTTGTGCCTACCTCAGAAGGGAAGGGCTAATGAATTGACAGATCTGATTAAACTCCTCTCCTGCCTAGAGATAATCCCAGCAGAGCGGGTTTGTGGTATAACTCAGACTGCCGCTTTGTGACATTAGTCTCCTGGGCTGCTAATCTAGCACATTTCAGAATTGTTACAATAAATTACAATAAATAAATAAATATCACAGTTAGGAAACAAACAAACAAACCCAAACAAAAAAACCCCACCACTAGCCAAAAGCCAAAGATATCACGGATCTGTTTTCTCCATACCAGAACAGGGATCTGCTAACATGAAACAATATTAAGACAGGTTTTAATCATCCACTACTGAAACTGAATTCCAGCCTGGTGTATGCAACTTCGTCAAACTCAATGTCAGAGTCACTCAGCCCTAAAAGGCTTTTAAAACCCCAAAGTGGGGAGTGATGTCATTTCCTTTTTCTGCTTTACAGATGAAAAGCAAATTTTATTGCCTGTTTAAATGACAGAGAAGTGAGTCACACTTATATACAAAAACATCGCTATAACCTATGTCTCACACGCTAGAAACACCTGGAAGATTTCTCCTATCAGGAGGCAGTGATACGCCCATGGTGAGGGCAGTTCCTGACAGCCGAATAGTCACAAACCTACGCTGACCTGTATAGCAGCTGTGGCTGCTATAGATCCTCTCCCTTTCAGGTAAGATACAGTACCTTGTCTTAAGTTTAAGCATTCTTACTCCTTTTGAAAGTCCCCCTCAGTGGCTCTGCGTGATGCTTATGCTGGGTATGTTCACGCTTGCTGGCTGTTGCCATGGAGCAGCTCACTCCACAGGCTGGCGCGCTGAAGCAGCTGCCACTGTCTGGAAGAATGCCGGTAAATTAATAGCTGAGGGCAGTTCATAAAATCGGCTGAAAGGACATTTAATTTACTTTGGTTTAGTTTCCTTTTCCTTCCCCCCTCTGCCCCCCCCCCGCCTCCTGGAGAGAGAAACAATCCTCCGGATGCCCAACTGGCATGAAAGGTACCCGTGTAAATGGTTGGCATCAGGCAGGTTTCCACATCAGAAAGGGAAATGCGTGTGAGTGTAGGTATGGGAGGAAATTGTAACATAAGCTTTATATTCCTCATGTTCTCTCAGTCTTTTTATAACTTGTTGTGAAGGCAGAAATAGCAGAGGCTTGCCTGAATGGGAAGCAGGAGGAGCAGAGCTATACCTGGGGATGGGAAGAGAGACAAATTTTCCCAGATGCTCTCTTTTTGTAGGCTGAAGTTGTAGTTGCTACACTGCCCTCACACCCTGCTGGAAGTTCAGTTGCTTGTGAGCAAAAAATACTTGTGAGACAAAAATAACTGTGTTGCTCTGTTCTGGAGGATCCCCGACTGAAGGTGTGGCAGGGGAAGGACATCCCTTGACAGAGGCACGTATCTGGGGATTCGTGCAGACATCTTCTGCCATTTCCCTCCTGGTGTTTTGAAGGTACAGACAGCAATTCCCTGTTCTCCTTGAGAGCACCAGCAAGGGCAAAGGAACCCTGAGGTGCTGAGACACTAGTAAGAAGGCCAACCTGAATATCCTTTTAGAAAGAAACACGGGGATCTTGCACATTAACCCAGCTCCAGGTTGCACTTGGGTAGTTCTTAACTAAGTTTCTCTTAGTAATTAACTTGGTATCATCTGGGGTTTTCAATGACATATTGTCAAACCTGAGAAAGGTGCTTGAGCAATGCAACCTACTAAGGCCTCCATTCAGCAAAGCTCTTAGGAAATTCTCCATTGGAAGCTTTACTAGAAGTTTAAGCACCTGCTTACGTTCTTCTTTGAGACACAAATTACCGAGGCAAGGGCTCCTACCTGTGTTGCACAGAGGATCAAACTATGGAGATCATGCCAGTCCTCGTGAAGAGTAATTAAGAACACAGAAGATGGTCTTAAGTACGGAGTTATGTCCTTCCTTGAGCTGAATTATTTGGAAGAAGATGTGCTGTTTCAAACATGATGCAGTGACTTAGGCACTCCTGACTGTTTGACCAAACCAACAGAAAGCATCAAATGGGATATGCCTCCACAGACGGAAGTGAGCATAGCTCCTCAGCTCTGAGCCCCTTTCACAGGGGGAATATATTCTGTCAAGCATGGTGCTGTACTCAGACCAAACACAGAGATCTCTGAAGTATCCTTAGATGCTCTCCCAATTCCCCTAGGTCCATCATCACTAAGGTTTTAGTCATCTTTTGTTACTAAAAAAAAAGAGATGATGTCTTCAAACATTTTGCAGTAAAGCCATACTGCTGGGACAAAAGCCGTTCACATGGTTGAAACCGCACCACCATAGTGACCCTGCTAGCTTTATCATCTCTAAGTATATTTGAGGTCATGCAGTGGAAGTATATTTCAGGTCGAGGTATATTCCTCTGTGTATTTGAGGTAGCAGAGGAAGATGAAAAGGGTGACAGCATTTTAGAACAGCCCTGTTTCCACAAATGTCAAAATCTGTGCTCTAATGAGTGTTTTTTCTTTTGTCTTCATTTTCTCCATAGACATGAAACTCATGCTGTCTACAGGTGCTGCCAGGGAAGGGAGCCATTTCCAAGGCATGCAAAATTTAGATTTCAATTTTTCTTCCAAATTCCCTAGGGAGAAAAGATGCTGACAGAGACATCTGAATATCTAACTGGAGAAGAGCTTCAGCTGCTATTCCCCCAGTCTTTTTCATTTGTCTTGGCCTTTCCTGTTTTGCTTTAAAACCCTTTGAACTGGAAACACATTTTCCATTCAGTAAGATCCACACTATAACACTTCTCTGAAAATGCCACATTTTGAAAAGCTGACATTTAAAATTCTAGCTTAGGAAGGGAGAGAAAAAAGTCAGGAAAACAAAGACTGTGTTTTGACTTGTTCTAATGTTTTATCTGTGCCAGGTAAGAGAACGGGCAGAATAAGACAGGAAGAGAACACTGGTGAGCCAAAATCAAAACATTTCCCATATAACCCACACTCGATCTACATCAGCCCCAGCTGTCTGTGTCTCAGGCAGCTCTCCAGAGCCATTTGCAAGTGGCTGTTTTACCAAGAGAAGTTTTGTTTTGCAACAATTTGATGCATATACACACATCTTGCAAAAAATCTCTCCTGTTGCTTTTTCCAGCTTCTCCTCATCATTCTGACAAGACCAATACTACATGATAGGGGTTTTCTGAAGCTTTTAGCTCGATTAAGGCAGACACAAAACTCCACGCATTACTTCTGCAGCCACAGCAAAGCACTTGGATGCAATCAGCATCGAGCTATCTTTGGGCAGAATCTCTGGCCTTCATAGTAAGAGGTCTTAGGTATCAACGGAGAAATCCAGGTTGGCTGCTTGCAGTGATATCTCTGCATTCAGCTCTGTATTTTAAACACACTAAGCTAGTCAGCAACCAAGTACGACAGCTGAAAAAATGAAAGTACTTTTGATGGATGTTTTTTACCTTGTACTAGGTATACGCAATATGCACAAGCTTGGATATAACCTCAAGAAGTACATTGCAATCTTGATAAAGGCTTTAATCCAGCCAAAGACTTTAGCATATGCTGAACTTTAAGCACATGAGTACTCCTTTTAGCCTGAAAAGAAGCCCTGGGAATTAAAAACAAGTTTCCCGAGGCCCCGTATTATGCCCTTTACCTATACAACCTTTGATACTAAAATGTAAATCAGAAATTTACTATTTTCTAAGGAATTTTCTAAATAAATGTCCAGGGGGTTTCCAAGCAAAACCAAAAGATTCCTCTCCCTCATTCTCCTCCCCACTCTCCCCTCTCCGCCCTCAAGCCAAATGCATGTTTTTCCTGTATCTTGCCAAAAGAATGAAAGTCTAGAGCGTACACAAGACTTGGATGTTTCCAAAAAACTCTGTGAAGCTTCCAGCCTCAGGGTATATCAAGAAGCAGCCCATATAGTTTGCAACAATATTTTTACATTTTGATTACTTCTATGCAGCTCTCAGTATTTTGCTCTATGTGAGATGTGAAACCCATCTAGCAGGATTCTCTCTCGACACTCTATCTGAATCTTGCCCAGAATGTTGTAAGAATGAATTTTCCTTATTGAGTTCCAGTATTTGTGTCTAAATGGAAGTATTAAAACAATTAAACACAGTTCAAGGTTTTTCATTTTGGTTCTGATGTTTCAGATTTAATTTTTAAATTTTCAATTACACACTGACTTATGCATATTCCTTACAGATGTCGATAATGGATTTAATTATCCTTTGCAAAAGACAGATACTGTTGTTGTCAGATTGTCTTTATGGATTAATGTTTTGTGCTTCCTTTAGATTAACCCTTTTCCCTCTATGGCATTTTCCTGTCACCA